CAGAAGTGATCTAGTCCAGGAGTGGCAGATACACGCACACAGCCACCACTGTCTCCTCCCACCCAGGGCAGACAGCACTAACTGATTAGGGCACGGGTTTCCTCTGAGCCCAGATGTAGCCTCAGCATCCCTCTTACCACAACGCTCCTACTTGGCCCTCACATGCACACCTTCAGGTCAATGCCGTCATTATCTCATTTCACAGGTGACAAACCAGGGCACAGACAGGCTGGGTAACTTGCCCAAAGTCCCACAGCCAAGCAGGGGCAGAGCTAAGACTGGAACCCTGGCCATGGTCTACAGAGCCAGTCTCCTGATCACTAACGCTCTGCTGGTCTGTGAACAGAGTCAGGCTGAGCAGCCTCAGGGGGACATGGGCCCTATCTGCAAGGCTCTCAGGGCTGGGCTAGGGTGGACTCAGGGGGGCTGGGTGTGCTGCCTCTGCGTGGCCCCAGAGGGCTGAGCCAGGCCTTCCGTGGGCAGACCCAAGAGGTCAGGCTTTCGAACAGGCACTTTATGAAATGTGCCACCTACTGTGGAGTGAGGGGTTGGTGGTGGTACGTGAGTGGGTGCCAGACAGAGCCTGGCTGCGAGGTTGGAGAGGGGGATCAAGTGGAGGATGGAGGTCCCGGACTCCGAGTTTTCCATTCCTACCATCCCTAACAGCTGAGAGCCCAGTGACAGGGTTAAGCCACGTGGGCCCAGTGTGGCTCCCTCTGAGCACATGTGCCCCCCCTGCCCTCCTTTACAAGAGCTACACGTCTCCAGGGTTGTAACACTGAGTCCCGCTCCCCACCTTGCCAAAGGTGTACAACTTCATGTTTTGATGTATGTATACACTATGGAATGGCAAAGTCAAGCTAATTAACATATACATTACCTCACACACTTATTTTTTTGTGGTGACAATACTTAAATCTATTCTCTTAGCAATTTTTAAGTACACAATACTTAAAATATATACATAGGGCAATGGCACCTGGGCACATGAGCCAACTGAGCCCTTGGGCACACCCACCCATCCCACACATACCTTTCAGGGCAACAGAGAGGTTGATGTCAAATGTGTAGGGCTGGTCATGGCAGAGATATGGAAGAGGCCTGGGGTCCTGGCAGGGCAGAGCACAACACAGAGGTCACTGGCAGCAGGAGAGTCCCCAGCATTCCTGCTCCCCAGGCAGAGAGCCTGAGAAAGCAGAAGTCTTCCCTCACCAGGCACCCAGCAGTGTGTCCCTGCACACTGTGCCCCTAGACAGTGCCAGGTAGGGGTGGCCATATTTGCCAGGCTCCAGGAAAAGAAGCCAAGGGAGAGGTGTCAGCATGTCAAAGGTCACAGGAGGCAAACCAGAGATGTCCCATGTGGAATATACTAACATTTATAAAGCAAATGTATTTCCCAGGGCCTATTTTTCACAGCCCTATAGTCTCAGGTTTAGCCTAACCTTTTGGATTTACATATAGAAATGTTAACCTTGCAAAAGACAGGAAACTTTCCTCAGGCTAAAGTCCTTGTAACACAGCAAGGTTGCAGGCTCAAGGACAGACAAGTTACTTGATTGATATGTAAAAATACTGGGGAAGTTGCTGTAGAGGAAAACAGTGTTTGCTAAGATCAAACTTTTGTTGGTGGATCAACTTAACCTTTTGCAAACTGCAGTATGGAATGTCACTTTTCTTATTTCAATGATGTTACTAGTTTTCCATTTGTTAGCCATAATTCTGCCAATATCCTTGTGTATTTGTAATGGTTAAATCAACTGAATTTTCTTGTAAAATTTCCTTGTTTTTACAATAAAAGGGAGAGGCTAACTTTGGAAGCAGCT